AATTATAATCAAAATACTGTTTGGATTTTATTTCTGATGAATCGAATGTAATATTTCATAACTATGAAAATAGAGAAGTAAATTGATCTGAAAATAATCACTGAAGATTTACTTCATTTTCAGCTTCTAAGGACCATTTTCCAGTGTCTAACCATCCGTAGAAATGTACTTGCAAATGTCGTATAAGAGATGGAAATGAATAAGCAAAATTTTATTTCCGATGGGAGTCAATTCAGATTGAGTTCAGAAGAAAAGAAAGGTTTCTTTTTTTTTTCATTTTCATATAGGATTTATCAACTCTCACGAGTTTTCTTCTGTTTTATCGATTGGTATACAATTAAGGATAATTTTGTGTATACAAAGAGACGAAGATTCAATGCATAGAAGAATTTCTGAAGATTAAGATTTAATGAACCTGAGCAAAGTTATATAATTGATACTTGAAATAACAATATTCAATCTATAGAGAATACTTATTTCATCCATGACACAATAAGAATTGCTCTCAATGTACATAAAATTTGAGAAATCTCATTTAGGAAAGGATATAGAAATACTAATTGATATCCTTCCTTTACATTGACGAACAGATGATATGCACATTGTTCGGATTCATCACAGTGAAATAATGCTTTTCGATTTTAGTAGGACATACAGATATATATTCAATAGATGACATAGTTATAATGAAGTTCATCTTTGATTTCCTAAGTATGCGACCATAAGTCTTAACAAATATTTTAATTAGTAAGATTCAGAAATGAATATTAAATATGAAGAACAGCTCAATTTTTAAAGTGAAACTCAATTATATGATTGTAATACAAAAAGAAAAAAGTTAATCGAGTTTTGTTCATTTCTTATTTAATTTATTTTCAATCTTTTTCTTTTTTTTTTTTTTGTAAATTTTAGATTCAGTATAATAATTAGTTTAAAATTAGGAATCTTCGCTTTATTACTGATCCGAAAAGCTTAAACAAAGGTCATCAGCAAAATGTTTCTATCAACTAATTGATATAAATTCAATTTCATTAAAATCTATAACAAATAGAGAGGCTCTCAAAACTATTCGACCAAGTTTATTTTCAATGTTTTTTTTTTCTTTTCACAGTCGTAAGTATTAAGAAGAATACAAATAATAACTAAAGTAGAGAATTTTATTTCCAACAAGAAATTTTGAAAATAAAAATGGTTGCTATTCTTTTCTTTGAAAAACAAACTTTTCCAAATTCTAGAATTTACAATTACAATTTAGCTTGAATTACCCAACAATGGTAGTACAAGTAATACTTTACAAAATGAAATATTTTTTGATGAAGATGCACATTAACTTTACGAAAAATATAAAAGTCTTTTTTTTTTTCGTATGGAAACATTACTGTTATGCCTTCCGTAAAGTTGATATATCTTTGTCAAAAAATGTTGAAGAAAACACTCAAAGACGTTCTATTTTACAAAGTATTGTTTGTTATATCATTTTGGGTAATTTAAGCTAAAATTCATTTTCATTTTGTAATATTTTTGTTAGAAATCAAATTCTCTACTCAAACTACTGTTTTGATTCTTCTTAGAGTTAACGGAAACAGTAGGTGTAGGCATATGTGTGAAAAGTAGATCCACACTCATACTTACGCCTTTTTTTTTCTTTGGAAAGAAATTATATAAAATTACACTATATGTTTCAATGAATCAGATGATTTAAAATGTTGCTTTTAGGAATAAACCTAATTATGATTATTCTTATATAATTTAAGAATATTTTGGTATTATTTTTATTTCAATTAAACTGTAATCTTATGTTGAATTAAGTATGTACTAAGATGGAAAAATAAATGACAAGATTTCGTTCATTTGATAAGCGAAATTTCAAGATTTCTATTGTAAAATACTCAATGATGTGCAAATTAATTTCTTATATAAGTAGACATAGACCAGAATTTGATTTGTGGTTATTTATATCTGTCTAATTTTATGAGCAATTGGATATGACAAAATTGAATTGTTTATAAGAAAAAATCTCAAAAACCTAATCTTGTAAACTTAAATAATTGAAGAAATCTAGTTTATGCTGAAATGAAAATGGCATGTCAATTGTGTCATTGTTGAGACGAGCATCTTTAAAACGTCTCAATTGTAATATATATTCAAAAATGATTTTGAAAGCTTTCTAGTCTATGAACAGTAGTCAAGTATTGTTCTTCTCTAATAGACAATCACAAAAAAACTCACATTATTAAGTATAAACCGAAAATTTCGTACTCAATCATTTCTTTCCGGTGAAGAAAAGAAACGGAAACTCAGCAGTTTATTTATTTATTTATTTTTATCAATCAAATACCACTAAATGATAGTGATTGAATACTAATAATAAATCAAATGTTAATTTCTCGACATGATTTAATTTATTTCAAATAAATTACTTTTTATTGAGTTTTTACGGAAGTAGTTGGATTTATTTTTAAGTCAATAATATTACAATGATACTTCATCGAATCTATTCTAGTTTTATAGAATTCATCTAATTATTACTCACTTCTAAATTGATAAATTTTGTTAATTCAATAGTTACACTTAATATTCAAAGTCCTGGATTTACATTCATGTTCGTTTTTTCACATCAGTAGATCATTCAATATTTATTCATACTATTCGAATTACTACTAACGACAGGTGAATAAAAGGCATCACTATAAAAATCATTCAATTTTCTATAGTAGATTATTCGTATGTTCTTTATTTTTCGTCATGTGACTAAGTACTTTCTTATACACAATACTATGTAATCAATTAAATCAATGATATTAAAGTTAAATATTTTAGTCATGTATCATAGCCGTAAAAATCTCAGAAAAAAAAATCTGTTTCTAATTAAACTATTAAGACGTCTATCATTATTATCTAATATAAATAAATGTCAGGGTGACCGAATTCGTTTAATAAGTACTTTTCTCTCTTTTTTTTATTTTACAATATATATATATATTATTTGAATAGGTATAATTTATGATCCATTTAGAATGTTGAATTTGAACTATTCTAAAAATGTGAATTTGAATAAGAGTAATTTTTTGATGTTTGACTCGTGTGAAAAACTCATTAATAATCAAGAATTTTATGAATAATCATTTCTTCTATGAAATTTATTTTTTATAATCAATTTCTTATCATTTGATTTTTCTTTTTCTTTTTAAACATTCGATCTATACAATTATTCGAACAATTTAAAAAACTTTTACATCTGTTTACTTCTTATTATTGATATAGAATTTTCAAGTTTGTATGCCTTGTTTTACTTGAGAAATACTTTCATATTATTTTCGTAGAATATTTGTCCAATGAAGTTAAATCATATGAATTTGGAAGTATTCATATAAATGAGATGATGATGACGATTATCGTTGTCGTTCTTACTTTGTATTTATTTTCTTTTTTTTTTTCTATGTATACCTTCATCAAAATGTCTGCTCTCTGTCCTGCTCTCTCTCTCTTGCTCCCACACAGTGTCTCCCAGGGAAAAAAAAGAAGAGTGTAATTTGATTTCGTTTGTGTGTGTGTGTGTGTGGGCAAGGCAAAGAAAGCACACCACAGCATGCACACCTGTACGATGGAAAAAAAGTAGTGCGAGAAAAAAAGAGAAAAAAAAAGACCCGATATGATATGTCTTCGTCGGTTTTTCTTTTTAATTATGTTACATTGATGTTAATCTTTTTCTTTTCAAAGTTCGAACTTTTTTATTTTTGTTTCGGCGTAATAAGTAATCTATCATCGTTTCTTTTAGTAAGATCTGTCAATTCAATGTTTCAAGGCCAAGAAGACAAAAGCGAGTGTCAACATACTCCACTTCATCGTCTGTTTCTTTCTGACGCGCTCTTTACAACTGCTGATGTTTGTTGAAAGGTGTCACATAGTAGTCTGCTACTAGAAAGAGAAAAGAACAATAGGAGAAAAAGAAAGAATGAAAGAGTCTCGATTTCTCCTGTCGTTGTTTCATTCCATTAACGACCTATCATCAACGGCAGAGCTACTCTTACTACTACTGTTTCGCTGATTTGTTGCTGTACGCTAACTAAAGTCCATGTACGATCGACAAGATAGGAAACCGAGAAAAAAAAAGAATGAAGGTTTGCACAGCCCCGGACGTCCGTGTCAATCTACACGAGCGCGTCTACAACTGAGTTGAATACCTCCTTTTCTTTTCTATTACTGTTGTCTTGTGCGCAATAGGATGCCTTTGCATGTGCGCTAGTATATATGACGAATAAAAAAAAAAAAGAACAGAGAACAGAATAGATACACGAAAGAAAGACCAAACGAAATATTTTGAATATTACTACACTCTTTCTTATATATATATTCTATATGTGATTATGAAGAGCAGACGAGCTTGTGCGATCCCTTTCCTTTTCTCTTTATATGCGTTTAGCGGGTTGCCCCTGTCGGTCTCTCGTTGTTATATGTTACGTCGTTTGGTACTCGAACGGCTGCAAAAAGAATAGAAAGGAAGAAAAAAAAAAGGCAAAAAATTGCGCGATGCGATGCGATGCGATGCGATACGTCTGTCCAATATGCAAAGAGAAAAGGAGGAGAATGATTTTTTTTTTGCTTCTCAATAGAGAAAAAGAAAAAGTCGGGCTAGTGAAAGAGAATGTAGAGAGAGACGAGAAAGAGAAGTAGCGGCAAGGCGTGTGCACTAATCACGTCCTTGAACGACTCGCTTGTGCGCTCTCGATGCCACTGTAGGCGTTCGCGGATTCCGGCTGTGCATACAACCGAGAATGAGAAGGAGATGAAGAAGATGATGACAGAACTTTCTATCCCCCCCCCCCCCCCCCCCCCCCCCTGTATTTTTTCTATGTCTATCTTTTCAATCGAAGTCAATCATCAGCTGTATATTCTAGAAAACGATTCCCTCTTCATTCGTCGCCATTGTCGTCGTCGTCGTCGCCCTTCTTCTATTGTAACGAGTTCTTTTCCGATGCAATCATTAACACAGAATGATAATGCACAACGACCCGTCTGGTGTCTTGTCATCCTGTGATTTATTTGTCGATAGTCCAATGGTTAAACATCACTCTGACCTTCATTATTACCATCATCAACATCATCATCCTAGTGATTCGTCACGATCACCATCCGTCTGTTCATCATCACTTTCACCGAAAAATTCATCTACAACAGTTGCAATTGCAACAGCAACATCGGCGACAGTATCTGTGCCTATAGCAACAGGCACAACTGCTCTAAATGATATTGATCCACAATTAGCTAAACATGTTGAATATGAATTAGGTTTAACTAAAAAGAATGGTAGTGGTACACGAAAAAATGCATGGGGTAATCTAAGTTATGCTGAATTGATTTCTAAAGCTATAACAACAAGTGCTGAACAACGTTTAACATTATCTGAAATTTATGATTGGATGATTAAATATGTTCCTTTCTTTCGTAATAAAGTCGATAGAGTTAGTAGTGCTGGTTGGAAGGTAATTATTCAACAACAACAAAAAAAAAATTTTTCTTTTTCACAAATTCTTATGATTTATTTTTAAGAATTCTATTCGTCATAATTTATCATTACACAATCGATTTAAACGTATACAAAGTGAAGGTACAGGTAAATCATCATGGTGGATTATTAATCCAGATGAAAAAAATACTTCGTCAAACATTTCCAATAGTACACTATCATCCACTAATGGATTAAAACAATCACGACGTCGTTTAGGTCAAAATTTAAAATCCACTTCAACAACACCGAAACGACTTCGTACACCTCGTTCAATAATAAAATCTTCTCGAATATTAACAGCTACTGAACAACAACAACAGCAACAACAACACCAACAACAACAAGACTCAATTACTCAACAAAATCCACTTGCTGATATATCATCCGTACCTGCTTATGATACACAACAATGGACAACACATTTAGATTCTGATACAACAGGTAATCATTTATATGAACAAGATCTTTATTCAACATCAGTACATACACCTTTAACGAACAATAATTCTACCGGTGGAATTCAATCAACATATCTATTTGACGATATAACAACTAATTATGTATCTAATACATCTTCAAATCCTAATAATACAAACGATTATACTTATCATCATCATCATCATCACCAACCACAACATTTTCATCATCATCATCCACCACATACACTTTATCAACATCATCATGGATCGAATTATGATATCGGTTCAAACAATGGATATTATCATCAACAACCGGTGCTTAATGATCATCATTTACTTCCTATGGATACATATCATACAAATAATGGACTAACATATCCTTTATCACAACAACAAATTGAACCACATGATGATCAACATACGTATATACGTGCTCATTCAGCATCATCACATTCATCATCATCATCAATTTCACCACCAATATTAACAACAAATAATAATAATTTAGCATCATCGTCTTCATCAGCTTCTTCATCATCAAGTTATTCATATCAACATAAAAATTCTTCATCATCATCCAATGGTTATCTTCATCCAAATTCTAATGGAACATTGACACTTTATAGTCATCATCATCAACATCATTCAGATCTTGAATCATTACTTCAATTGAATGGTATTGATGAAGAAAATGACGATGATGATGATCTTTCGACATTAGTACATCATCATCATGGAATGATTGATGATCAACAACAATTATCTAATTTTCTTCCCTCAAATAATCATCAATTATTTTCACATAATGAACCATCAACATCAATTTTACGTACGGTGCTGAAAAGACCAATTGTCGGTAAGAATTGAATATTATTTTTAAAAGAAAATATTTTCGTTTATTTTTCTAGATATGCACAATCAATAAGTGTAACTGACCGGTTTTATTTTTCTTTTCTTTCATGTTCCCTTAATTTATCGAATCCCATCGTCGATTCATTTTTTTTTCTGTAGATATTGTGCAATGTATTCTTAAAACGTGAGAGTCATTTTAGATGACATCCGCAAGAATGCATTTTTCTTTTTTTCTTCTTTATTGTTCTGTTTGTCTTCTTATCATGCGCTTCATCCTTCTTTCAACCAAAACTGAAACCGGTGAAATCAATCTAATGTCAAGCAAAGAACAAATAAAGTGTATGATGATGATGACTAGAAAAAATATATATATATATATATATATATATTAACAGTGAGGAAAGATCTTCTCTTCCATTGAAATACACACACTAATAATAATAATAATAATAATACTGGTCTTTTGTTTTTTTTTACATTTGTTTTGTGTGTTTGTATGTCTGTCATATTTTTCCTAGTTTTCACATGCGCACATGAGTTGTTTCGTTTGTTTTTGTAAAGCTCGATGTGTATAATAACGAGAGTGAAACATATAGAAAAAGCAAAATATCAAAATCAATTTTATTACATATTAAAATTTGATTTTGAATGTTATATAAAATATTTTATGATAACAAAATGGGTATTTAATTCATAATTCATGAAATTTATGATTTAATTCAAATTTTAAATTAATAATTTGTGTGAGTGAAAGATAAATACGAAATCCATTAGTTTTTTCAAAGTACAATATGAGAAAATTTGAGAATGAAAACAGATTTTTTTAAATTTTATTCTTATCTAAGTAGAAAAAGTTTACTCACAAATCAAGTAAAAAATATCAAACATGATTTATCTATTACGATGATATCAAAGAATGAAACTGGTATTTGATGGTAGCGTATTATAAGAGAAAATAATTGAAAAACAATTCAAAAAATTTGTATAAAATAAGATATTTAAAACTTAGTTATTCTTGCACTTAAAAAGAGAAAATTCCAATAATAAACTATCTTTTTGAATTTCTGTTAAATTTTTTTTTGGACAGATACATCTTACATTTTCTAGTATAGATTTATCATTAACTACGATAGATACTATTAAATTGTATGAAAAATTTTATATTATTCATACTGAGGGATGTCCGAAGCACTGAAAGAAGCAGCGGAGGGGAGGGGTAAAATTCCCATATTTTGGAAAATGTTCGTTTTTCACTAAAATCTGGTCAACTTTAGAAAAACTCTTCCAATCGGTTTGTTAATTCATTGAACTTCTCTTCCTCAATCCGAATGATGTTTGGAAATTGCTGGCTTTGTTAACATTTTCATCTACTCATGTCTATGCAGAGAACATTTTTTTCACAAATATTCTTCATGATTGACATAATAATACAAACATAAGGTTTCAATCAATGTACAGCCCTGGCAAAAAGTTCTCTAATGTTTTTATGTTCAAGTTGGTTGTGACTTGTAACACATGTTTAGTATTGTTATTGATCAAAATTTTCTTATTTTACTGTTCTTAAATACGAATAAGATATTATCAGATAAAAAAGTTTCAAGTAGCACAAAGTTCTTGGACATTTTTCGTTCTATATATTTATCAATTTTTCTTCAAATGCAACTACAATCGTTGGAAAGACCAAAATAGTCTGAACATAATAGATATGTTTTTATTTTCGAGATCCCAAAAACTAACTATTTTCTGTACAACGATTCTTTGCTGGAAAATGCTTATGATCATTAAGAAATTGTTAAAAAGCCAGCGTCAAACCGTAGAAATTATGTCTTTTCTTTGCTTTATGTTGAAGAGTAGAATATATCTGACAACATATGATATTGTCGAGCTCTATAGTATATCAAATAATATGCCATAATAAGGAAAAAGTTAATAAAATAGAATTTTCCTTTTTCAGTATCATCTAGTGCATTTATTTTACTTGTAAGAGAATTTCGAAATATCAATTTTTCTCAGATATATTCTATTCTTCAACATGATGCAAGCAGAAAATAGAATTTCTACTGTTATATATTAACTTTTTAATGATCATAAGCATATTACAGCAAAGAATCATTGTACAGAAAAAACTTAATTTTCATGATTTCAAAAATAACAATACATCTATAATGCTCACGTTTTTTCTTTTCATCTTTTCATCGGTACCAAGTTGTAATTGAAGAATAAGTAAATAAAATGAAAATTTTTGATTGTTGGATATTTTCTGTTGAATACTATTTTTATTCGTGTCTAAGAGCAATCAAATATGAAATTTTGATCAATAACAATACTAAACATATGCTTAACGTGAGAGTCAAATTAAAAATCAAGTATTGAGAAACTGTCTTCGAGTATTCGAAAACTTTTTGTCAACACTGTATTATAGGAAAATTTTTATTGAATATTTACTGTTTGTTTTACTTAGACAAAAAATAATTAGATGATTTTTCTACATTAATTATACTGATAAACAGATTTTTTTATAATGGTGGTGGTAGAATATAGATAAAGAAAAGACTCATATGAAGAGGAAATCCAATATAATAAATAATTAGAGCCACATGACTAAATCTATAATTATTATCATATGTATATGGATTTAAGGCAAGCATGATCAGCTGAGGTAGTTGTGCGACAAAACAAAGAATTCTATCTAGAAGAAGATCAATTCATTTTTGAGCAATGGATGACATATGACTTTTTGATCAACCAGTGTAGTAATTATAATTATGCGAATAAATAATATATTAAGCTCTCCTACCCTCCCTGCAAAAAAAAACAATCGTCGGACAGGCGCATTCAAATCGCATGACTCTTTCTCAATATGTTGGAGCTTTAGTGGAAAGGGTATAGTAAAATTTTCAGCTCTATTCTATGACGATTTCGGAATATATTCAACAATAAAAAAGCCCAAAGTGGTTCATTTGGCAATCTAAAACTTTGTGAACCTTGATTGTATTTAGTTTATTATTTTTTCTTTGAAAGAGCACATCAGAATGCTGAACATGACAAAGTTCTTGTTTTTTTAAACTCTTAAATTTTAAGAGGAAAAAAAAGATGAAATGTTAAATGTCTTGAAAAGCTCTCAAAAAATGATGTTCTCATTATAAAAATACACTTGTATATAATAATAACAATGCTGAATAATAAAAAGAAAAAGAAACTCTGTCATGCCTTGCATCTTGACATGCTCATATCAAACAAGAAAGAACTAAATATATTAAATGAAGTACAACAGAGGATTGTGTATTATGTAATCAAAAAGATAGAAACAGAGAAAAATTTTCCAGTTTTTCTGAAAAAAAACATGTTTTTCAAGCAGAAAATGACGGAAATTTTGAAAAAGAAAAACAAGGTGCTAAACAAAAGAATCATGTAGTTCATGAAAAATCATATTTCGGACAATTTGCCGATATATTTATTTTACTTTCTATAATTCTAATGAAAATTAATTTGCTTGTTGAGAAACATTCGACAATAAATCAGACAACTTGATGAGCTATGAACAAAAATTCGAATAGTTTTAGTCGATAAAATAAAATCTGTTGTATGCACTAAATATTCAATTTAGGATACGAGACAAATTTGTATGTATCGATTGGATTACACATTAATTCAAAAACGCATGACATGCTGTAGCTTCTTAAAAGAGGATACTTTTTAAAATCATATACAGCTATCCAATGATTCTAATAATTGATTAGCTTGTATAATGACTTCTATTCATCTCTTATTTATTTATTAAAACATTTGTCAATCTTTTATTTTTTTGATAATATACCTCTAAAGTTGTATGTACTAGCTAATTACTTTTTTTTACTAATAACCGATACCTTGCGTATATTTTGCGTTATGTTATAGTCTAAGATCTTCATGATAAATTTTATTATAATTATTCTTGAATGTCTGTTATTGATTTATTACTTTTCACAAGCTGATTAATATAAGTATGCTTTTTCTACAAAAAAAAAGGCTAAACAGTTCAAACTTTATCGTCATTATCAAAGAATAAAATAACAGCAAACATGTTTTGTACGACTTTTTTTTTTTATTCATCTTTCTGTTCGTTTGATATTGATCGAACAAACACAATAGCAACGATTTTGGTCTAATCATCTGATGTCACTTCTATTCTATATCGTCCTCGGCTTACATTTACAGCGGAATTAAGGAGAAAAATAATCTAAACATAAGTAAAGAAGAGCTAAACGATAAATTGATTAGTGATATGTAGTCGATGGAAAAGAAAGAAGGAGACCAGAGATACATATAGGAAAAATAAAACGTTATACACAAACAATCAATAAAAATCAAAGAGCCAAACAAACGGCAGCATATCAAGAATAAGCAGAAAGTATCATAATAGCTAAAATAGTTTTGTTCGTCTCGTACATCGATTGTATTTCAAATTGGATCACCACAAGGATCAAACAATAGTGGTAATTCATTGATATTTTCAGTATTACAAAATACTCAACATGGATAATCAATTTCGTAGGTATTTCAAAAGAACGCCTATTGTAAATTAGGTGATAGCTCATCAATACCATCTTGACAATCTGTGATGCTATCGCCCAATAGTTGCAATCGTACGTACTAAGATCAGTCAGTCAGTCAACACATACTGATAAAGATAGCCTTTGTTGATTGATAAATACAGACACTCGTTTCATCATCCCCCAACAATCAATCTATATATCCATTATTGATACGTCTCACCGAGATAATATACAATGACTTCTGATATCGATAAAATAATTGTTTAACATCTGTGTTTTAGCCACATGGCAGATGCTCGACAGTAACATTCTAGATGGTATATTCAATTGTTATTAGAGAACAGTTTTGAGAAATTGATGTTTACTGGTATTTGAGAAGTAAATTAGATTTTTCGTCTTTTTAACTTACTTTAGAGTAATAGTCAATATCATAATACAAAAGAAGTATGACATTGGAAAGAAAAAGATGAATTATGAATACATTATATGTATAAAAACTGAAGCAATAAATATAATTCAATATGATTTCAATACCACT